TCTTAAGAAATGCACTGACAGACCATGAAAATGCAGCAGAATCTGAATTGTTGAGGAAAGTAATTTTCTGAATTTTCGAATGTTATTTGCTGATGCTACTTCTAGTGCAAAAAAAAAGAATCAGACACAAAATGGGAGGGAGGGAGTAAGGGAGTGAGGGAAGGAAGGAAGGAAGGAAGGAAGGAAGGAAGGAAGGAAGGAAGGAAGGAAGGAAATCATTGTTAATGATGAAGTCACCTTCATGGAACTTGTAAGAGATTTATTCTTTATTTTCTCTCTCTCCAATGTCCCTATCCACATTCCACAAGTAAGGTTAAAATATATATTTTATATATAGGTGTTATATATAGGTTTACATCCCAAAGAAGGAGCCTATATAGATGAATGGTAGTAGGTAACATGCCAAGAAGGAAATTATTAAATTTATATTAAGGTAGAACAAATATAAATGTTCATTTCTATAATATGCAAATACATGGAGTGTTTCTGTGCCAAATTTCTTGTGTGTCTAGCCTTACTTAGCCAAATAAAGCTCTTCTCTTCTCTTCTCTTCTCTTCTCTTCTCTTCTCTTCTCTTCTCTTCTCTTCTCTTCTCTTCTCTTCTCTTCTTTTCCCTTCCCTTCCCTTCCCTTCCCTTCACTTCCACTCCACTGTATCCCACCCACCCCACCCCATCCCATCCCATCTTCTGTCATTGCCTTTCTTTCACACTGATTATTATGTAAGTTAAGAATTGATACTAAATGATGTTCCTATATAAGCCTAAGGGATGGAATAGTAATACTACTGCTCATAATGATAACTAAAAAAAACCCTTCCTTGTAATTATGTTTCAAACTGTATAAAGAATTTCAAAATTTAAAAGTAGAGTAGTAATCTTAAATAGGAATATAAATTTTAATTTTAAATTATAATACCAGGAAGAAAAGGCTGGAAAAGATGTTTTATAAAGACAAGCATAGCCACAAGGCTCTATTTTCTTCAGTCTGCTGGAGTTGATTAATATAGTTGACTGATTTAGTACTTGGTAAAGCCCCCTATTTTAATAAGAAAAAGAAAATGATTTTAATTAAACAATAAAATTATGCTAGAACATCCTAGCTCTTGGTAACTGGTCAATTCTGAGCCCATGTTATATCTGTTATTTTGGGAATAGTCTTCATACTTAACAGTTAAAGGAGGGTCAACCTTATAGATGACTGTAAGAAAAATATAGAACCCTTGTTTTGGGTGAAATTGATTTATTTATTTGATAATGTGCTGACTATTGTTATGTGGATGTCAGCTTTGAAGCCAAAATCAATGAAGTTATTTTGAAATATGATACTTTTGTTCATGAATAAACAAATGCTAAAAGGCAATTGTTATTTTGTCCCTGAGTATGAGGTCTACTTTCTAATCTGACTATAAAGCACAATTAGTATCTATTATTGGTAACTATAAATACGAGGCCAAGGAAATATTTAAACACTTTGGGGTATTGGTGCCCAAACTGATGTATTGCTGCTTGCAAGTTCTAGATATTTTAAATAGTTAGCCAGGATAAAATGATGTGCCATTTGAATGGCATTTTGCTCTACATTTTTGTAATTTCCAATACAGTAGAATCTCTGGTCACAAACGCTTCTGACCATGACCAAACCAGGTTCAGACCAAAAAATGCACAGTCCCCCACCCCCCGCAGCCAATTTCTGTTTCCGTGCCAAAATTTTGTAAGATTAGGTTCAGATCATGACCAAATCGGTTTGTAACCAAAGTTATGTGACCAGAAGTTCTACTGTATATGCTAGGTCAGAGGTCCACTACCCCCAGTCCCTGGCCCTCTGTCAGGCCACAGCCCTTTTGGAACTAGATGAGGAATTGGTGTGTGTGTGCATGAAGCTGCAAATCATCCCATCTCCCACCACCACCATCACTATCTCAGGTAGTTTGCCAAAGCAGAAATGTTGGAGTTACCTACCTGTTCTAGGTAACTGGTTTGACATGCAAATTAGGTTTGTAATTATGCTAAAGCTTTCTTGTAAGAAAAGGCTGAAATGGTAGGCCTTCTTAATGAAGTATAGATTTGGGGGCTTGGTAAGAATCTTTTCCCTAGCAGGATGCATGTTAGTTTATCAAACTGTGGCAATTATCCTCTTTCAATCTTCATTTTAATCTAGCTCCTTCCCAGCAGCCTCCTCCCGAAGGGCAGATTGTAAATTCTTCAGCTATCAGACTCACTTGGAATCCGCCCGATTCTCCCAATTCAAATTGGCTTGCTTACAAACTGTACAGAAATGGGACTCAGATCTACACAACAGAGAACTACCATCCTTACAGTGAGTGCTCGTTAATATGATATATGCCTTTATAGTTTGTTTACTTCAAAAGTGTTTTTTATTCATTATTCATTTTATTCTCGATTGGAGCACTGTGTTACATGTTCTTCCACATATATAATATCTTGGCTGTTGTTTTTCACACATCAAGTAAATGTAATTTCAACTTTTTCTTTGTGGGTTTTAAAGTCACATTTTCTTCTTTGACCCCAATCTATTTGCTGTTGCTGCTGCATTTTTAAATCAACATGATATAAAGTATGTTATGTGTGAAGAAATTTCTAGCCTATTTATTCAATTCATGTTTTAAAAAAACAATTCTTGATATATTAGGTTTCTGTGTATAGAAAAGCAGCTCAGATCTTAAAATGTTTACATTTTTGTCATTCACATACTAAAGAATGCTTTATTATTTTATATACCCTATGCTAGTTTGCTACACACAGGATTCATACAATTATAACTGGTTCTTGGCATATACTATTTGACATAAATACACTGAGAAAATTAAAACAAAAAGGATATTCTTAAAACTGCAGAGAGTGGGAAAAGGATCAGAACTTTTCTGACTTGTAATTGAATATACAAACACACAAACATTTTATCTAGGTTACACTTGTGGCTATTGTTTCAGTATTTTTCAATTAATATACATTGAATAAATTAATATTTTTATATTTGTGTATCTGTATACAATTACATCACACACAGAGAGACCTTAGCTTATCAATTATAAATATATTTCTTTACAGATCTTTTTGCATGTTCTTAACTGTCCCAAATGCTCCCTCCCTGATTCCCTATATTTACAGAATTACAAAATAACAGGTTTGAAAGTCTTCTAGTCCAACCCCCTGCTTAGTCAGGAAACCCTATACCATTTCTGGCAAATGGTTGTCCAATCTCTTCTTAAAAATTCCCAGTGTTGGAGCACTCACAACTTCTGGAGGCAAGTTGTTCCACTGATTAATTGTTCTATCAGGAAATTTCTTCTTAGTTCTAGGTTGCTTCTCTCCTTGATTAGTTTCCATCCATTGCTTCTTGTCCTGCCTCCGGGTGCTTTGGAGAATAAGTTAACCCCCTCTTCTTTATGGCAGCCCCATAGATATTGGAAACATTGCTATCACTTCTACTTTTATTTCTACTTTTATATGCTCACTCATGAGACAACTTCACTGTTGTCAGTATTTAGCCTGGGGATGAGAAGGGAAAGAGGGGGAAATTGCTTTTGGAATTCCAGTACATTGGTCAAGCTTTCCTCAGTGATTCCCAGTCGATCCTTCCAAATGTAGCAATCGGCTCTGCAGATCTCTCTTTCTAATCATGCTTGCTTCTACTGAGCCATCAAGCTGCATATTCTTCTTTCTATTGTGGATGAATGCAAAGAGGACCCCCAGCACCCCCAGTCCGCACAGCACAAATATAACACTATCCATGTCCAACCATCACTAGCAGCCTCTTTCATTGCCTAAGAGATCTGCTCTCTGCATATTTTCATCAAAAGGCAGATGTGTCCACTCCCAAGGGTCTTAATTAGGCAGGAAACTTCTAGGTGTTTATATGACACTTTGAATAGTGCTGGCAACTGGACAAAATCCCTAAACTTGGAGACCAATGTACAGCTCTGTACCAATCAGGACCTCTTGCCTCCCATATTCTGTGAGTGTCTTTTCAAGGTTCATTAGCAAGAGTAAACAGTTGCTCTTACAACAATTAAAAGTACCACTTGTCAAATCATAGGCTGATATCAATAATTTCCAGAACCCAAACTGAATTTGTATGTATTTATGTGGCTAGATAAATAGCCTGAGATTTTTGTCAAACATAATTATTTGAAACTTTCGTAAATCGAGTTAATGCTACAAAAGTTATGGCTGCTTCTCAGGATGTATATAGTATTTATATTACAGACAACCACTTAAATACTTCTGCCTTCATAGAACTCCTAGTTTGAACAGTGGGAAATACAGATATAAAAGCCTCCAATTTGTTAAGGAAAGTTATAAATTTATTTATTTAAGAAAATTTACATGGCTGCCCAACTCTCAGTGACTCTGGGTGGCTTACAAATGATATAAAAACAATAAAAAACAATAAACTCTGTACCTCTGGTGACAACAATCAATCACTCAATATTCTCAAAACCTTGCTTATTTAACTGATAGCTTTCTGGAGTCAGAGCAAAATAATGTTTAGAGGTTTTCATATCAAAGCAAGACTGCAAATAGATGTAGGTAGTCCTCAACTTATAACTTATATTGGTTGAGCCCAAAATTCATGAGAAATTTGTTAAGTGAGTTTTGCCCCATTTTACAATCTTTCTTGCCACATTTGTTAAGTGAATCACTGAAGTTGTTAAATTAGTAACATGGTTGTTAAGTGAATCTGGCTTCCCCATTGATTTTGTTCGTCAGAAGATTGTAAAGTGTGGGGGGGATCACATGACAATGCAATCATCATAAATATGAACCAGTTGTCCAGCATCCAAATGTGACGCTGGGGGTGCTACAATGGTCGTAATTATGAAAAATGGTCATAAGTCACTTTTTTCAGTACTGTTGTAACTTTGAGTAGCCACTAAACAAGCTTATGAATGAAGGTGAATATACATGTCCCAGGATAATGTTGCAGAATCCAACCTGAGTCAGTCACTGGGATGAGAGGTTTTGTCTTCCAAGTTTTCAGATTTGTTCTGGGACTCATCTTCAGGGAAAGTGCTCTCTAGCCAAGAAATGTGCTCTACCACGTGTCCAAAAGCTTAGAACACAAAAACTCTGGTCCAGGTGACCAACCTAGATTGGATCCTGCAGCTAAACAAACTGTTGTAAGTCGAGGACTACCTATGTATTCCAAAGAAACTTTTATCCTTTAATTCTTAATTTCTTCTCCTTTTTTTAAATGTGGCGATGTTTCTGTTGATGGAAATGCTTCCATCACTGGAGCATTGCTAACCCTTCTCCTCTGCAGTGAAACATGGGCCTTCCAAATCTTCCCCAGAATTCCAACAATCCTCTGCAGAGGCTTTAGGGAAGTGACAAAGGAAAGAGATGAAAGAGTTAGATGATCAGAAATGTATTTGTGTACTGCTGACTTTCATTCCAGACAGTTAAAAATATTCATTCCTGTAAAGACACTATAAGTCACTAGTGGGAAAATGATGTCTGTCTGACTATTGGTCCACTTAGCCCAGTATATCTACTTTGACTAGCTGTGGCTCTTCAGAGCCTTAAGGAGAGGTTTCTTCCATGACCTGCTACCTGAATCTTTGAACTGCTAATGATTGAGCTTGAGCTTTTGAGTATATAAAGCAAAGCCTCTGACATTAAATTATGGACTCTTCCAAGACAGTGTTGGAGAAATACTGCTGTTTGTTCAGGACAATTCTGAACTACTTGAGTTTCTTATCAAGGGAAACTGTTGGTTTGATCTAGAATAGGGCTATCAAACTCAAGGCCCATGGACCGGATTTGGCCCACGGGGTGCTTAGATCTGGCCTGTGGGGTTACTCTGGAAATAGCAAATGACCGACCCGTGGTGCCTCAGCCAGCAAAAATGGAGCTCCTGGGGTCCATTTTCACTGGTAGAAAGCCGCAGGAGGATCCCCTCTGACCCACCCAGCCACCACAGGTGCATCCTGACATATTTCCATGTCCATCTTGACCACACCCACCCTGGCCATGCCCATCCAGTGGTCCCCCTGAGGTCAAACACAACCCTAATGTGGCCCTCATTGAGTTTGATACCCATGATTTAGAAGGTCTCATTTTAGATGTTTACTCCATAATGCTTTAGATTAATTCCAGAAAATATTCTTTATTTGTAAAAGGAAATGCCTTTTTATTACTATACTTATTACTGTAAATTTAAATAACATCCAACATTATATTTGACTTGCTTTAGATATGAAAACACAAGAAAACAAAGCACAAGAAAACAAAAACCAGCACAGGGACGTATGAATGGATGCAGCCTAGCAAAAGTCATTGTAACGTTAGAGAAGCTACCCAAAGTGCTTGGCTGCAACTTTAACAATAGTCTAGTAAGAAACCTAATGCAGAGGAAATTATTTAATGCTCATGAAGTAAAATGCAAAGATCCCAACGTTTTATATTTTATAGTTCTAATGTTTATGCTAAATGGTTGAGGAGAAATTGATAGTAAAATATATCTTCCTTTTAAATTAAGCTTTATGTTGATTCTTCAGTAATGATTTAAAATGCAGCATTTCAGAATTGACAAGTAAAATGTAACACCTTTTTGTTCCTTGTCAGCAAGTTTTCTCCACACAAAACTCCAAAAAAAATATAAAAATCAGATCCTGTGATTTGAGGCTCATTTTCCTGAGTCAGTCTTTTAACTCTATGATTTCAAGCAAGCAAGCAAAGATACTTGCTAAGTTTTAACTATTCAGCATTTTATTTACTACATTCTTTTTAAAATGATTGTCATATTTTGATTAATAATATTCTCCAGCTTTGTTTTCTTTTCTGTGTCATTTTATAAGAACTGTAGTCTGAATTTTAAGTTATGTATAGTTTAATGTATACTGTAAAAATAAAAGAAAGATGTTTACATATTTCATTCAGGCCTCCAGGTCTTTGTTGATAGCAATTTACTTCCGTATACCTTCTATACGTATTACCTTGAAGCAAGCAACATCCACGGATTTACAAGAAGTACTGAGTTGACCTACAGAACACAACCTGGGATACCTCTAGGAAATCTGTATTTAAATCCAGTCTTTCCTGTTGGACCTTATTCTATTTCTTTTAACTGGACAGCCTTATCCAATGACACTGGTCCAATAGAGAAATATATTTTGACATGCATTTCTTCATTTGAACATCAATCTTGTGGCCAGCATGAAAGCTTGGGGACCTCTATAACTGTCTGGAATTTAGTTCCATTTAAAAAATACATCTTTTATGTTCAAGCATGTACTAATGGAGGCTGTTTGCTAAGCAAACAACTATCAATAGTTACTGCGCAAGCACCTCCTGAGGAGCAGCTACCTCCAGTCATACGAAATATCAACTCTACTGAATTGGCTGTAGAATGGGTCCCACCCAGGAAAACCAATGGTAAGTTTTTGTGTTTCATTCAGCGAATTGGGGAGAATTGTACTAGATCTAGATATTATTGGGATTTTTCCTGAAAGTAGAATTAGCCCCTTGGATACATGAAGGCAATTGGTATAAGACTCAATGAGACTTGTTTCCTCTCTCCCTGCCCCCATTTACTATCTCATTTGTGGTCACATATAGAAAGAGGAGAAATATCTCATGGGTACAGCACACAGTTTGCATGTAGTTGGTCTCCATAACTCTTGATAGTGCTTGAAAAACCAACTTGAAATTTGCTGCTAGCTAGTACTGTAACGGAAAGACTTCTGACTCAGTATAATTGATCTGGTGTTCTTTTGTTACTGTGTCACACGTTACCGGCAACATAACTTCTCCTTCCAAAGATCTAACTGCTTAATTTATGTTTCAAGAGAATGCATACTTATGGTCTATAATTTTCAGGAGAAGAAATAAAACTCATGGAGGTCTGCAAATAATTGTTGAGATAGTAGGCAGTTCATTGCATATGTATGCTATCTCTTGCTATCCTTAAACACTTAAAAGAGAAAGTGTCAACTCCACTAAGTAACCCAGACCAGAAATCAACTCTACAGGAAAGATTTGAAAGTGGTTGTAATAACAGAATCTAGCAAGTCTGATTGTGCTGTACTGCCTCTTATTTCTTACACTCCAGTAAATTTTGGAGGCATCTTCCTGAGTCACATCTGAACATTATCTTGTTGCTCTAGATTTTAAAAAAATGTTTCATCCCTTTTGTATAGATAAGAGTTCTTGCATATTTCTCTCAAGGTTTTCTCTATAGAAGGTTTCTTCCCAGTATTGATCCTTTGCAGGGTTAGGTTTTTTTTTCCAAACTGCTGCTTTCTAGAATTTATTTCCTATTATTAAAAAAAATCATTCAATGGGAAGTGAAACTGTAAAGTGATTAAAAGTTAATTTCAATAGGCCTTCACATTCTGAAGAGCTATTTTGTCCTTTTCAGAGGTTGAAGAGTATATAGGTTATGGTTATGATTGGTCCTTAGTGTAATTGATATTGGCACACTTCCACCAAGGAACAGCTATTCACAAATACATGTTTGGGAGGATGAGTTAGGCAATATACTTCAAGTCACACCAGTTTCAGCATTAGATAGTAATGACAAAAGTACAAATGTAAATATTTTCAGAGAAATATACAGTACTTGTTTTGTAAGGTGCCTACTTTCATTTCTAGGTGTAATTATTAAGTATGAATTATATATGAAAGGAGGTGTACAATCCAATGAAAGTCATGTTTCCCCTGAGAACTGTGTTTTCCAAAGCAATGGATGGTTCAATCTTCATCCAGTGGAAGAATCTATACATGAGAAAGCTTTGACACCACCTGTAACTAGTACTGTTATCACGGATTTGGAGCCATTCACAGACTATGAGTTCCGTGTTTTATCAGCCAATATGGCTGGCAGCACATTTTCAAATTGGACTTTGCAAAGAACAGCAGAGGCAGGTAATTACTGGAGTTTACATTAACCATTTATATTAATATATCATAAATAGCTTTCAAAACTTTTTTAAAGTTGGGGTTTAAATCTAAAATGTCATTATTTAAGTTGATATCTTTTTATTCTTTTAAGTTTTAAAAAAAGTGATGTGTGGCAGACAGTAAGGCTTTGGCTTTCAATGGAAGCCATACATGCTCTGTAATATCAAAACTTGTTTTACAATATAAGATTTAGAACAGGCAGATGGAGATAGCTAATGACTTCATACTGGTGGCTTTACTTATTTTGGCTAATGATATTTAGCTGCTAAACACGTTTACTGTGTTCATTTAAATAAATTAAATAAATAAACCTGTGAGAGACTTACCTAAATCCAGTGATTCTATTAAATTTATACTGAACATTAATTTGCTAAAAGCTAGAATTTCACTAAACAGGAAAAAAGGTTATCAAGGATACACACAGATTCCACAACTTCTGCAAGAGGGCAATGAATTGTTTATGTAACTTTGGCCTTGATTTGCAATCAATTTTTTTCCTGGTTGTGACATTTCTACAAATCTTTAGCTTAATTTGTGCCAGCTAAGGAAGGTAATCAGAATTGATAGGAAGAATTGAAAAACTATTCTTACTGATTTCTATTACTTGGGTATCTAAGTCCAAAACATGTTTTAGCTGGGCAAATTAAATAATGGCTTCAAGCCAAGGATTTCACTTTCATCTGCTTGTGAAGTTAAAACTTCCAGCAGAGTTTTCTGAAGAGTGATATATAAGAAGTCTTTCTAAAACACTGCTAATTAATGGTGCCTGTATAAGTTTTAAAACATGGAATTATCTTTAAAAAAATTGGAGGTCATAAAATTAAATCACACACTAACATGGAGAGAGAGAGAGAGAGAGAGAGAGAGAGAGAGAGAGAGACTAGACAGAAATATG